GGCCCCCCCATTTCAGCACAGCCTGCCTGCCGCACAGCCTGCCTGCCACACAGCCTGCCAAATGGCACGCCTTGGCTCCGCGCTGCCCCTTAATTGCTTTTACATTAAAAAAAATATATACATATAAATTTTTATACATAATGTATAAATTATATATCATTATTTTCGTATTGCTTTTACATAAAAAATAAAAAATACAAATTATATATTATTACAAATGCATGCATCAAATATATATTAATATATTATCGTAAAAATATATGGTGTATTCTATATGTCCTATATCTTTTGTATATAATTTTAATATTTATTCTATATAAATATATTTTTTCTAAAATTGCAGAACCCGGTGCTGGTGTGCCGGGGGGGGTCGGTGCGTGGGGTGCAGCGGGGGCTCCCCCGTGGGGAGGGAGGCAAGTGCACCCCCAACCTCTCGAACCCCCCCACCTCGGCTGAGCCCCATCCCCAGCGCGGGGGGGGGCGCCTCCTGGTTGTCCCTGGATGCGGAGCTGTGCGGAGGAGAGGGGGGAGGATGACTCTGGGATGGGTGGGCTCTGCCGTGGGGGACGGGGAGCAGTAACGCCGAGGAATAAAGGGAAAATAGGCGATAAACCCCCCACGCCCCCGCGGAGCCAAGCGCGGAGGCAGCGCACCCCGCTCCGCGCTTCTCCCTGGCCCACAGCGCCCCCTGGCGGAGAGGCGCGGCGCGGCCGGGAGGAGAAAGAGGAAGAGGAGGAGGAGGAGGAGGAGGGGGATGCGGGGCCGGTCTCCGCGCCGCCCCGTGGGGGAGAACGGGGCGGCCACGCGTGGATGGGGAGGGGCGGATCAAGGCCGGGCGGCTGCGCAGCGCGGGGCGGTGGAGGGGAGGGGAGGGGGGAGAGGAGGAGGAGAGGGGGCGGCAGCCTCCGCGGGGCGGAGCGGAGCGGGGCGGAGAGGACGGCGGCCCCCAGGTAAGGCGCTCGCCCGGCTCCGCGGCCCCCGGGGCAGCGCCGGGAGGGGACGGGGCGCGGGGAAGGGCCGGGGCGATGATGCTGCCGCCGCCTCTCCCGGGGTTTAGAGCTGTTCCTTTCCTTCTTTTTTATTTATTATTTTTTTTTAAAGTTCTGTCTGCGCGGTGACCCGCGGGAGCATCCGCTGGCGAGCAGCCGGGGACGGAGCAACGGGGACCCGCGTGGGCTCGGAGCCGGGGGGGTTGGAAAATTAAAAAAAAATCGAGGGGTTAAGCCCCTGGGAGAAAGTTTGATGTTTGTTTTATAAGTTATTTCCTAGGGCGGTTTTATTTTATTACATAAAAAGCGATTCAACTCGTTGCGGGGTATTTTTATCATCAAGGAGCAGAATAACGGTGTCTTTCCCAAAGTATTTAGGCCTTTCATGAAAAGACTGAACCTGATACAGTAAATATTGATTTACATTTTTGCAACAGTGATTTACACGTTTGCAATATTGTAAAAGCTGGTAGGGGGGGGAAAAAATCCCCTGCCTTAATTTCTCCCTGGTCATCAGCAGCGCTCCTGGTCCTGCAATTAGAGAGAGATGGTAGAGAAACATGTCCTATGTTTATGATCATCCGTACCTTGCATTTTACAGCGGAGCACATCATAAATATCATGTACCTATCTAACTTAAATACTGCTCTAGAAAAAATTCCAATATCGTACACCTCAAAAAAAAAAAAAAAAAGACTTGGGCACAGAATTTTGCAGGCGTAGACATGGGGCATTGAAGAATATTTTATAAGCATTGAGAACGTTTATAATATTGCCATTTAAATTAAAAATTTCATTCCAAAAGATTTTCTTCTCATCTTTCTTGAAAGCATATTTCAGTGACACTGCAAGTAACAGGTTGTTTAATACTAGTTTGCAATATCCTTAAGTTACACATTATAGAATCTGATAGCACATAAGACTGGAGTTATTTTCACTTTACATTTTCTACAAAACCAGTAACAACAAACCCAAACACAACACTGTGTGTGTGTATATATATATATATGTATATATATACACACACGCATTACAAAATTGGTTGAAGAGTAATTACACATGGTAACTCATAAAGTGATTAGCATATTGATATTGAAATAAAGGAAGCCTTGCTGGCAGGTTTAAACACAAAATAAGAAGTGGTGACTTGTTTTATTTAATTACTTAGAAGCTTTTAGTAAATCACCGTAAAATGAAAACAAAGTTCTAAGCTACAGGTAAAGTTTTTGAGTGCAAAATTTCTGCAATAGATATAAATCAGCAATAGTGATTATACAATATTTTAAATGGGCTAATACCTAGTTTATAAAATTAACAGAAAACATCAGCATTATTCACAAATGAAAACAGAGTCAAAATACCAGTGATCAACTGAATCAAATTACATAGTATTAAAAAAGATATGTATCACCAAATCACTGGTCATGAAAGTAATTAAAAATAATTTTTTTACACTTAAATGTAACTGTTACAAATTTAAATGTTGCAAATAAAAAAAAATCTTAAAGCATTTATATGCAGATAAATACAGCTGATACAAAAAGAAGACATACTAGAGCACAGAGTACTTTTCCTTCCCCTTTAATAAGAAATATTCCAGTAATACTAGCTACACAAACAACATTCAAAAGATAAAAATTTAAACAATTTTCTGTCAAAAGCTGGGAAAAAAGTTCCAGTCGAGTAGTCCTCGAATTTTTGAGCAGGGTGACAAAGAAAATAACAGAACAACACTAGAACTATTAGAAAAGAAGTATTTATTTCAGAAACATCTTTATTTGGAAAACACTCACTGGCATACAGATAAGCTCCTGGAATTTAAAAATAAAAAATAGCCATAAAGGCTCTCCAAACCTTGTATTTCTGTAATTTTTGTCAGATACTGAGGATGTGTTAGTAGGCCAGAATTGTAAAGTGCTTCAACAGTTTAGATCAGTCTTTTAAAACAAAATAAAAAAAACACTCCCCTAACATTGCATTAAATAAAAACATTAATATCTTTCTCAGACAGTTTGGTTTTCTATATTTTCCCCATCTTTTAAATAAATTTGCTAAACAATTTTTCTTGTAATGTGGCATCTCAAAGTAAAAAAAAAAAAAAAAAAAGTCAAGTAATCAAATATCTCTGCCTGGCAATAACAGCTATTTTTTAAGCTACTTTTAGTGATAACTTGTTGCTTTTAATTAAATTTTATCACTTTTACTTTAAAATAGCTTTGCAGCTAACTCACACGCAAGCTGAGAAGGTGAATAGATACATTTGTGCAATTCAATAGGACCAAGCAAAAAGAAAACATGGATATTTATCTCATAAAAGTGCTACCATCAACAAAACACAGTGCCTTAAAGTAGTTACCTAAGAGATGTTATCCTCAGGCTATTAAAACACGTTTCTAAAATTACACAGATTCCCAGCTGGATGCTTCAAAAAAGCATGCCCACACACGCCTGTGGTAACCTTTATTATCTGGCTATTTAATAATCTATTGTTTCTGTAATCCACAGGTTTAAAATGCTCCTTCTTTGAAAGTATCCACTTAATTATTTTAGAAAAAAAACAAAAACAAAAACAAAACACAAAACAAAAACCCCAAACCAAACAAAAATATGCATTTTTAGGCCGGTAACTACAGCACTGAAGTTAATGCGATCTTTGCTAGGGCAATCAGACCCCCTAGCTCTTTTTAATAGCAGTTAAATGTCAAATATAAATACAACACCACAGTAAAACATATTCCTTTGACAGAATCTGGGACAAGACACTACGCAGCTGCTGTTAACAATAAAGAGCAAAACTGACGTTTAATCAAAAAATAAGTGTTGGTGGTTAGGGAGCTGTGCTCCAGCCTGCCTTTTGTTTGGGGAAAAAGGCAGTATTCCGGCGTGTTAACTACAGCCCCCATGAAACCAGCAGCTCCTGTTGCTCCCACAGAGGGGAGAGGTCCCACGTCCCTGCGGTCACAGCCTCGTGGTGACAGTCACCTCGGGGAGGGAGACGCTCTCCATTTAAAACTGCTGAAATACAGCATTTCCCCCCACATCTGCAAACGTTAAGTGCCCACGGTTGGACACGCTGGGTGAAATCCTGGCCCAACAGAGGCCGATGCAGAAGTCAGCCACTGGTTTCAGTAGGCCTCGTCCAGGATTTTCACCCAGGAATCTGTCCACCCAGAATCTGTCCTTCCCTGGGAACTGAGAATCTCCAGCAAGCCTAGAAATTAAAGTCGCTTTTATTCATATTTCTAACTTCCAAGCGACCAGGCTCAAGAATTTTGGCCTTCGGTCCTTATGCATGATAAAACCAAGCTTCCCATCAACATTGCAGAAGGACCAGGGGAGGATATATTTATATCTCAAATTGTCAGCAGCATATAGTTTGTACAAATGTCGTTTTGCTGATGTTGCTGAGCTACTTTAAAAAGTGAATACCTTGTGGGGTGTGTAATTTCATCACCAATGTCAAATGACTTCTGAAGATGAAACTTCTCTGATGCAAATTACAAAAAGATGCTTTGAATTTATTTGGTATGATGTACAAACTCCTAAAATGAGGAGTTATCTTTATTTTTCAGATCAGATACATTAAGGGAAAGGTTTTAACTGCCAGGTATGTCAGCAGAGCCTGACTTAACTCAATACTGAGATTGTAATAGTCACAAAAACCCAAGTGCAATAGGCAGTGCATAGACCTGAATCAACATATATAATAAATCAACAAAGAAATAATAGTACCAAGGTCTGTTTTGAAAATTTTGTAAGGACGTATGGTTGTACTGACGACGTGTCTTTTAGGTAGGTGTTACCAGCCAGCTGTGTTTACGTGGTACACGCAACCCGCAAACAGAGCAGAATCTGCCTCGTGCTGTCCTTAAGATAGCAATACAGGAATGATTTTTCATGATTCTTCAGAAGCTGGGCTTGCTTTACATCCGCATGAAATGCTGTCATCACTAGGTCCAAGCCCGGAGGATGAACTGCAGAAAAGGGGAGTGAGAGGAAAGGAAAAAAAAAAAAATAAAAGGAGGAAATTGGTTTTCACAACACACTCAAAGCCTGAGTAACAGAGGAGAACTTTAATTATCTCCAGTCACAAAGAGAGACAGGAAATTTGGACTTTTAATTAGCCATTTGGAGTGCAGTTGGATATTTTTTTAGCAAGATAATTTAAACGCGAATAATTCAAGTCTGACTAAATGAAATTCACATAATCAGAATGCAGATAATTGAATTTCTACTGCATTCATTAATTCAGTGTGGAGGTGTGTGTGAAGACTTCTATGATGAGCTGTCACAGCTCAATAAAATCTCAGTCAATTAATTTTTTCATTATCTTAGTATTACATCAACAAAAAAAAAGCGAGGCACGCGCGCGTGCATGTACGTATATATAATCTCAGAAAGCAAGGAAATAACAGAAATCACCTCTCCGAATCAGAGTCCCCGTCGGTTTTTCCTTTTTTTCTCTCTCCGTCCTCTACAGGGAAGCGTCTGTTCGAGGAGGCGAACTCATGGATGGCGTCAGCAACGGAGTATTTGGTCTGTCCAGAGACACAGGCCTCCATGTCCTCCGGGCTCAGCTGAGTCTGTAAGAAGAGGTGAAGCCGACTGTCGGAAAGCAACAACGCGTCCTGCAGGATCCTGGAAAAAGAAAAAAAAAAAAAACCAAAACCCAACAAATTAACGTAAAATGTTTTTATACAGATGCACATACACGCATATATTCTCACGTCTTTTTACCAGCACAAATCCCAAACGATGTCCCGCTTTCAAGTTTTCAGATGAATCCCAAATCGGTAACAGAAGGTAACGAACATATTAAAATGATTAGGTGCGTGTTACTTTCTTATTACATTATTTGGAATTTTAGGTGAGTAAAAACACGAAGCTAATAGTTAGGCACATCTGCTATTAGAATAACTTCAAGGACATTTCTTGCATTTAACCATCTATTATTACCACGTGGATCAATTAATGATTTTTAGGCAGTTGGAGGCATATACTCTTACAAAAATTTGGTCTCTGCTCGAGAACTCTTTTTTTTTTTTTCTAATAGCTAAGCTTTTCTAAAAATTACAAGTCGCCAGTTTCTTTGGTGGGGGAAAGATGCGTGTACAAAGATGGAGAACTTCAGACACACACAGCGTCAGGACTTTGAAATACCTGTAAATAACGGAGCCAACACTAGCCAAAATCATTTACGCTTCTACAAATGTGCGTACATTTAAACTAGCATGAAAGTGCTAATACGGAACACTGATTTAAATAAACTTGCAGTTTTCAGAGAATCTTAAATACTATTTCAGTCCAGCTGTGCTTTTTCAAAAGTCCATTTTGATCTTTGGTTTATATATATTTTAAATTAAGTCTTCCAATAAATTTAGCACAGAGTATGTACTTACATTAAGTGAAAGCAGACAAAATACAATACATTCCACTAACACAGAAAGTTGTCTAGATACTTTAATTGAGGATTATCATCACTATTTTGACGGGGGAAAAAAAAGCAACTTTGCTGCAACATTTCTCTAAAGAAGGAACTCTTTAATACACAAATCCTAGAATGATCAACAAGAGACTCTCTTGTTTATATGTATATATAATTCTACTCATGTAATAAAGTCATCAGAGCCTATGACCATGCCAAACACTGCTCTACAGAAAATTATTAAAATATCTTTAAACAAATGAAAACTATTAAGAGTCAATATTTACTTATTCTACCCATTTAGGTTACAGTCATCACCAAAAAAAAAAATCATTGCTACGCAATAGGAAATAAGAGATGACATTAACGTAAGAACTAGTAAGAGCAGAAAGAAATACTGCATTCTATAGGTACTCTGACTGAAATGAAAAGTATGACCGATTAGTTCCTTCTCTCAAATAAGATTAATTGTGTGTTTGGTCTGTAACGTTTTAAAACACGAATACATTCTGAAAACTGTTCTCTAAAGTGGCCAACATTACAATAACATTTAATAAATACATTAAAGGATTTCTGGCTTCATCTAAGCCTATAAAAATTTGACAAATTAAAATAAGTAACAAGAGTCATCTAACTGAAAATGCGGGATATTTGTGTGCGTGCATGTTTCATTTGCCGAGGGAAACACACACACACAGAGTCTCAACCAAATAATTCAAACTTTGACACTTCCCAGTGAGGAAATGTCTGCAATGACCCTAATGATCTACCAGGTGCATATGAAATTCAATCTAAGAGGGACCAGATTTCGCTGAAGTTCGAAATAAGCAGACTTTCATACCTAGAAAAAGCCTTTTTAGTCTGATCTAAAGTCTCACGATTTTACCTGAAAATAAACACAGCAAATAGACATCTGTAAAAATCAATGCACGCTGCGTATTAATAGACAGAAAAACTTTGTAATCTACAAAAGGCCAGCAAACATGGTGTAAAAAGTATTTAAAACAAAATTTACAGGTCTACACACCTGGACAGCAACAGCACGAATACAGTTTGAAAAGCCATCATTCAGCAGCCATTACAGGATTTCAGCCTTGACTCTTGATAAACATACATTCCAATCAAAGACAAACATGGCAACAAAAAAGAAAAAGTATCATTCCGCACAATAAATCCACATTTATAGTTTATGCACTTGAGGGAGTAAATTTTCTACTTCCTCTTTTCCTCCTCTTGAAAAAAAAACAAGAACATAAACCCCAACATGCTGGAGTTTACTGCAGAGGAACCAGAGTTCCCGTTTTTCCCAGGCTCAGGAGCACAATGAGGGGATGCACATTTCTGCAATTCTAACATTTGCGTGTCTAATACCGAGTGACCCAGCAAAAAGCCAAGACGTTAAACTCCGGGGAGGGCATTCAGTTTCACAGATTTTCCTCTTGCCGAACCTTCAAAAGTTTCCTGCCAACCGGCGCAGGCACAAGTAACTAACTGTTCATGAGATTACACTACACTTACAGCTCTGTTGCTGTTGGAAATGTATTTTATTTTCTTTATAAAATAATGGCTAATCTTTAAAATTGATTTTAGATGGTTTGAGGCATTACACCAGAGAAGTAATGAGCACTAATGTCAATGATATTGGACACAAATTCATTTTAGCTTTATTTCATGTCCAGTACAATTCTGCTAAGCCTTGAACTGCTAAAGCACTGTTATTAACTCGGCAGTAACCTAACACATGGAACAGCAAACAAAAGTGATAAGAGCACAGACTGATCAGGACCTCAAGGCTACTGTCCTTTTTCTGCAGCTATAATTCAATTTCCAATTTTACTTTACATTGGACTCATTATTTCACAGTAATTTTCTTTTCTGCTTCAGAGTGCCATCTGGAGGCGAAAGGAGCAAAGAGAAGCCAGGGCAAAGAAATGGAAAGAAATGTTTATGAAGCTAATCACACATGTGTGCATATGTGTACGTGTATGTTCACAAGGGGGGAAGGGACCAAACACTCAACGCGTTTTGCAAACCATTTGAAACCATCCTGAAAGCAAACATCTGGGCACCTTTCACCCAGTCATACCCTGGAAGCATTTCTTTTCCCGTTTAATTAAAAAATAACTTCTGCTTCTCCCACCCCCTCTGAACCAACAGGTTAGATTGCTTTTTAATTGCACCCTTCAAGCAATCAAAATGGAAAAATAAATTCTGTGCTATCTGTAAGCGTTACGCTCTCCTGTTCAAAACACCCCTCCTTTGAGGAAATAACCATACATTTCCCAACAGATGTTACTAGTAGCACAAAGTGCTGGTGCAGTGGTTGCTCTCCAGGGCTTTCACCCTCCTGGGGACTCGCTGCGTGAAGGGGTTGTGCGTCTATTAAGAAAAAATAAAAAATAGATTTGGCTGCAAGGTCTTCAAGTATCAAAATGAGCAACACACCACTGAACAAATTAAGGGGGCAAGAGGGGAGGTGGGGTGTCGCGGTGCCGGTACCCAGGTGCTCGAGCAGGGGCTGAATGCCTTAACAGTACTGGTTGTATGGTTTCCACGGACAACCAGTAGCCTCCACTGGTTTTATCACCCCCGGTGTGGACACACAGCCACCATCACAGCCACCCACGGCAGCGCTCGCCGCCGCCGCGCTCACGGCAGAGTCGTGGCCCACGGTGATAATTCCTATAAACTGCCCCGGCGCATTTAAGAGAACAACAGGCTTCCCATGCGCGCCTGGAATGAGGAGGAAAGGCTAAATCCTGCGAGCCTTGATCCCATCAGCAGTCATTACTTGTCAGAGATCGCGCTCCTCTCGGCCAGATTGCTCACACCCATAATGACTACTTATGTGATTAAGGGGGCTGCAGGAGAAGGCTCGACATTTGAATTAGAGATAATAAAATAATTTTTTTTATATTTTTTTTTTATTCACAGCTACGTGAATCTTTGTCTGTAAGCTCTCAGCAAACGCTCGTGATCCCTAGACCTTTAAAGAAACAGGGCTGAAAAAAAATGTCACTTCACAACCCAAAGAAATAATGCCGTTTTTGAGGAAATGCTGGACGCCGTATGAGGAGTATTTCTCCTTCCCCGCGTTACGGCAAGAACATTTACAAAAGACAAAACATGTGGTTTGTCTTATTTGGACAAGGTCCAAAATCTGGTTTTCTTCAACATGATTTTATTAGGTATATTATACACTGTTCTGCTGGAGGAGAACAACATATGGCTGAACAGTACAACTTAATCCTAACTAAAGATTTCCTGTATCTACTGTAACCTAATACAATGACAGATGCACACTTGCATGTGTGTGGAAGGTTAACACTCCGATTTTGTTTTCGACAAATTTACTCTGCCCATTTACATCATATCATAAGAGCAAGGGGAAAGGAAAAAAAAAACAACACAAAACCCAAAAACCACATAAAACCACCAACCCAGGAGGAGTTGAGAGGCGGGGGCTGACAGCCTGGGCTTTGGTGCCCTCTATTGAGCATCCAGCCCCTCAGCCCCAGCCCACAGCAAACAAAGCCCCAGTTTCCTCTTAAAAAAAATAAAAATAATTTTTTAAAAAGTGTGTTTCCTCCTTCATTTTTTATAAGGGAGGAAATACTATTGAGAGCGAGCAACTGCGACGCAACTGTTGGGCATCTGATAACGTTGAAAAAGGATTAAGCGACCCGCGCCTGCTGGGCATTGCTCCCTGCACTCACCAGAGAGGGAAGATCTCCAAGGTTCCATTGGAAAGAGACAGCCACCACTCGCCCGAGGAGGTCCCACTTGCCCCATGTCCACCCGTACCTCCCACAAGCCCTTTGGAGTCAGTCTCCCACTCTCCACATCCCTGAGAGCTCCTGGAGGAGACACCTCCATGAGAGTCCTCCAACCCTGCACCAGCTCCTGCTTGTGGGACCGTGGTGGGGAAGGTGAGGAGGAAGGCAAAAGCCCAGCCACCTCCAGTGAGTGGCTCTACCTTCAGCAGCCGTGTTTTGGGTGGCTTCCTCACCCCAGCCCCAAGCGAGCCCAACGCACAGCCATCCCGAGCAGCCACGCTGGGGATGCTCTTCGTCTCCTGTGGATCCAAGAGCTGCATTTCTCAAAACTCCTAGTATGTCTTCATAAACTGCACTTATAAACCAATTGAGGACTAGTCATCTTTCCTCAACCACGTAATTTTTTGGAACCAACTGTATTCAATAAAAAATGAGAGCTGCATTTCTCAAAACTCCTAGTACATCTTAATAAACTGCACATCTTATAAACCAATTGAGGACTAATCGCCTCTCCTCAACCACATAATTTTTTTGGAACCAACTGTATTCAATAAAAAAATGCCAGTGATTGAACCCATCTTCATTTTAAAACATTTTTTTTTTTAATTAGCTTTCTGATAAGCAAACCCAAATGGTGCTCCGTGAAGGCAATCTAAATCCCAAAGTTAAACCTGGGGGGGCTACAAAGGGATTAAAGCAAAGAGGACCTTACAGAACCTAATATTATAATGTAGTGCTTTAATTTTGAACTCTAATTTAAGAATAAACTTTCCGTGCCAATTTACAGACATCCTCAAAGGTATGAGGATACTTACCAGGAAAAACACATAATTTTCCTTATTCTTAAGAAGAAATTTATAATTGAAAAGGGGCTAGCTGACTTCCGTTAATGCAAATGGCCTCTTGAAATATTAAATTACACCCAGACAAGAAGTGAGCTTTACGGCTCTTCATCACTCAGAGATAATAACCTGTGAGACAAGCAGGTCTTGCCCTGCATTCGCGCAGTAAAGCCGGATGAGAATGGGACACCTGTTCCCAGATTTCACCAAACTCTAGTGCTTTTCTTTCGTGTCCAGCTGTTGGCCTCATTCTCAAGCTACTGTGCTCAGCACAGAGAGGCTTCAGGAAGACCTTGTCTAAATGCACACCTTGCCCTGTGCCAACCATCCTGGAGGGACACAGGGAGGACAAGAGAACTCCATAGCCATCCACGTATAGGCAATACGGAGGAGCTCCCAGGGCCAGGAGCTGACTGTCTAAGTGCACACCTTGCCCTGTGCTAACCGTCCTGGAGGGACACAAGGACAAGAGAACTCCATGGCCATCCACGTACAGGTGATACGGAGGAGCTCCCAGGGCCAGGAGCTGAACACCAGAGAGCCTCCAGCCGCTCCATCCTTACTCCTTGGGCACGTGGCTCCTGCTCAGGAAGACACCACAGCAACAGGAAAGGGGCACAGAGACTGTGACAGATCTAAACTCCATCTCAGAGATGGGGTGGATCCCAATAACCTCACAAAAACATAATCTGGAGACCTCTCCCTTGACAGGTCCAGATAGACTCGAATCCCACCTCTTCTTCCCACAGTCACAAAGCGCTCCATCCTTACTCCTTGGGCACGTGGCTCCTGCTCAGGAAGACACCACAGCAACAGGAAAGGGGCACAGAGACTGTGACAGATCTAAACTCCATCTCAGAGATGGGGTGGATCCCAATAACCTCACAAAAACATAATCTGGAGACCTCTCCCTTGACAGGTCCAGATAGACTCGAATCCCACCTCTTCTTCCCACAGTCACAAAGAACCACCAGCAGGGCTGTGAGCTCGTGCTCAGCGATGGCCATAATTGCTGGGGCAAACTCAGCTTGGCAGTTCTGGGTTACACCATCCCACTCAACTACTTTCTAACTCCCTTCCTACCCCCTTCTTAATGTACCAGGGAGGTCCTGCTTCCTAGCATTGCTGCACCACAGAACGTGTAGCCTCCAGATGGAGAGCTTTAGTAAAGCCAAGTGTGTGTATACATAGATATACACAGAGACACACAGGCTTGTCCACGAGTCCCACAAATCCAAAGAAATCATAACCTTTGGTTCAGACTCATAAAGAAAAAAGGGAAATAATAATAATAATTTTTAAAAAAGCAGCATGGCAGCATATCTGAGCCAGTGAAAAGATGCTTTGTGTAAGGAGCAGCACAGAGGTGCCAGCCTTTTAGTAAAGCCAAGCGTGTGTATATATATATACACACAGAGACACACATGCTTGTCCACGAGTCCCATAAACCCAGAGAAAGAAATCATAACCTTCGGTTCAGACTCAAAGAAAAAAAGGGAAATAATAATAATAATTTTAAAAAAGCATCATGGCAACGTATCTGAGCCAGTGAAAAGATGCCTTGTGTAAGGAGCAGCACAGAGGTGCCAGCCAGCAGAGGGCAATGGTACAGCCCAGAAGGTGCCAGGCCAATTCATCTCAACACAACTCCTATCTCCAAAAATTCCTTCCAGCTACTCCCCAGGGCTGAGAGAAGGCTGACACCTTTCTAAACAGCCTCCAAGTTCAAACACTTAAATCATTACCTTACAACAGAGATGCCTCTTTTCCCCCGACTCCTGGACTAACAGCAGCAAGGTAAAGTCACTGCACGCTGTCACTTTCTGCCCTCAGCACCCATTTAAGTTATGGACATCCACAAAATTGGGGAGTGAGGACGTGTTTTCAGAGCCTGCCTCTGTGTTATGGCTTCTGAAGCACAGTCAGCATTGTAGGTATTTTTGATGCTGAAATACTGTAGCTTGTTACCAGACTGGTCTACTTGCCATTTCAAAATGAGAGTGATTTTGGAAACGCACAACTCCGTGGGGCAGCACAGGTAAGTTGAGCTGGTCTCACCCGGAGACCTGAACTACTATACCCTTCAGCTGATCCTTAATATTATCACCTCTCGAGGCACACTCACACTATTTGCCCGTCTTTCTTTCCTGAGGTGCAGAAAAAACATGTCTGATCCTCTTCTGCTTTCCCTCCCCTGTCACACGTGCCTTCATCCAGTGTTTATTTGCTATCCTTTTGGCCACAGATCCTATATAACTGTTTTAGTAAAGAAATTTTATTCCTGCAGCAGTTTGCTTGCCCTGCCTTCAGCTGCTCAGCCTAACAAGTATAGCTCAGGGCCAATGATTTCTTGTCTGGTAGGAAGGCTTATAATTATGCCACACAGACTGGAAAAACAGCAGGTCCAATAGTCCTCTACCCAGTGACCACAAGGCTTAGAGCCTATTTAAAAGATTTGCCTTTTCCCCTTTGCTTATGCAGTTCTGATTCATGGAAACACTGACAGTGAAGGAAGATGAACGGTCTCCACTCACACCGTTTCCCCATCCCCTTACCATGAGCAGTGGCTAAAGAGAGCCTTCAAAAGGCATGCACCATCCCTAGCAGTTGTGAGCAGCCTGCTCTCACACCAGCAGTGCCAGGGTACTATGAGAACGGCAGAGAAAGCAGAAAATTACACCAACAGGGTCTTCTTCCACTGCAGGTGATGTGGTTACAGCAGCAGGACTGAGGGATGCAGGACTGAGACTCACACAGTGCTCCCTTGTAAGGCAGGTCAGACTCTATACACCAGTCCTTTACACTAACCCTTTACATAACCCCACGGATGAATGATTTTATACAGATTGCAGCTGTACTGGAAGTGGTCACAGCTGCTAGAGCCCGTCTGTGTTAGTGGGGCTGGTAAACAAAGTAATTGCCATTATAGGAAGTGTCTGTGTCAGGAAGCCCCAGTACAGGCTTCTCCCAGGCTCCCAGTGGTTGGTCCCACAAAGACACTGATTTTTCCATGGAGATAAAAAGGGAGAGAAGTCTGTTTCTTTGCGTGAAAATATCCAGCTCGTTCTTGAAAGCTAGAAATAGACATCACAGTGACAGATCTCCCAACCTTAGTACCCAATTGCAAAGCGACATAAATCCAAAGCTATTATTTATAACCAGTGCAATGAAACACAATGGAAAAGCCCCAGCTGACGTTTCCCTACAGCCAATAGAACTGAAGTCACGTGTATGAAATATGACTTTGCAAATAAAAAAGCAAGCCGAATGTGCAACATGTACAGATGACCACACGGTGGCCCTCAAGTACCAGAGATGAGCTATTTTCAACCAGAAAATTGATGACATCATAAAAATGCCAACATGTCTAGGATGGGCTGTACTTACTTTTCCAGGAATTCCTGCAGACCCTGCCGGCGATGGTCCACGTGATGGGGATTGTTCATATTGAAAAAGGGAGTCTTAGATGGCAGTTCAGGTAACTGTCTTTATAAACAAGAAGGAAACACACAGTTAAAACCAGATCTGAAACAGCAGAGAAAAATGCAATAAGCAAATGCCAACCCCAAGCAAGTGAAATTCATGGGGCACATTCCGGAAGTTCATGAAATGGAATTTGGGAATGCAAGGTTGAGAAACTGGAGGGCTTCTCACACACCTCAAAGGGCAAAATAAGCAAACCAGATATTTCTGGTCCAGTTGTTATGCCTGCATGCTTGTCTGCCCGAGTCCCTCATGGTCCTTGCAGATCCTAAACACGTCCTAAAAGCACAGAAAGGAGGTCTGTACACCCACACCACACTGCTGTTTCTGCTACCTGGGCGTAGCAAAGGGAAACCCAGACCAAATCCCTTACAAATTAGAGGGGGGCTCACCAACCAAAGGCTATCAGTACCAACCACGTTCTTCTGGGTTTAAAGCAGAGAAAACGCCTTGCACAGAATAAACCTGTGCTGGTAAGAAACACAGGACACTTTCCAGCTCTGATTTCTGTGATTCTCAGCACTAAGATGAAACAATCCTCCCCTTCTGTGACTTCCATGAGTATTAAGTAGCCAGATATGAAGTTGCTCACATAAGCACTGCGTTGCTCTGAAGCCTCTGCCGAAGCCAAACGAATTCTCGAAAGCGTCGTCTAACACAGGATGTTTTCCTTGTGAAGCACATACTGTTTGTCTGTTGGGAAATATAGAAAAAAAACCCAACAAAACATTTTACTTTGTAAATCAGCTTAAGCTAAAGTGCAGGCATTGCATTAGAAACACATCCAAGATGCTAATCCCTGAAACACCAATGGAAAGCTTGACATAAATTCAGGTTAGGTTAAGGACTGTGCTTTATCTCAGATAGGAACTGGTGACAGTTTCTAATACTTCTCAGGGGAAGTATTTTTCATTGCTTCTTTCTCTTTTTAAAAGCAAGAGATCTGGATTATGGTACAACTTGCAGTAACAGGAAAAAAAAAATCTCAGAAAAAAAAAAGTTTTGGCAGATAATGCCAACCTGTGCGGGGAAGTAAATCATGTTTAGCTATTCTGGTCATAATCCTGCAAACAGCCAGCAAAACAGTTCTTCCAGTGTGCAATCCTACTTAAATCAAATCAAAGGAACGAATGTGACTGCTCTCCCCAAATAGCAGCAGTTGGAAATTTTCCCACAGAACGCTATTAGTCCACTAGAAAAATGCCAATTCATCAAAGAGAAACAATTCACGGAAATTAAATGCGTCTGCCAAATTTTCCCGTGGAGCATACACTTAGATGAAACCCCACCTGCCAGAGAGGACTGCATTATAAATCTGCCTGCTGTCCAACGATCGCCTGCCAGGAGCCACCATTCCTAGACAGCAGACTGTAGAGGGCCCAAAGATGCCAGCTTTCTGGAACAGATGAATCTTTGGATACCCCACAGTCTAAGAAGCCAAACGCTCTAGGTGCTGGGCAGAAGGGGAATTCTGCTGGTCTAAGAGCCTAGCAGACCCAAGATTTTGAATCCATGGAGAACCCTGGACGGTAGGACTGACCTACAGAGCTGGTCTCTGAAAGCCCTGTGGTGGTAGGATGCTGAGCTGATGGTTATCAGCCTCAGAGGTGCCCAGTGCTGAATCACATGCCACTGGGTCTAAAAGACATCACCCCAACTTAGCAGTCGCTGAGAAAGCCAGGAATATACTTGTGTTCAGAAGCACCAACGCCTGTGAAACAGCAACACAGCACCTGCCCCGCCAGATCTACTGAACTTCTATTTACCAGAAATCAAAAATATCACCGCTTTGGAACCAGTACTTAAACCACACTGCAAAATGTGAAAGTTTCACAGTCCCAATTGCCACACAGGAGAGAAGCACTTGTCACGATGGGCACTTAACAAGCCATCATTTGACTGCTTGCTCTCATTATGCTGAACGCTTAACTCTCCCACACAGGAAGGAAATGCTCTCGGTCCTGTGCCAAGCACTAATCACCTAACTCGGTGCTCTCAAATTCTTCACCTGATACTTGATCCACTTCACTAAATCATTTTTTTACGTTGCAATCAAAATCCCTGGATCTAGATTTGGGAAATGAGGGTAACTCCTTCTGTACGTCATCCACCAAGGAAGAATAATCAACAAAACAATTATGTATAGGACAGATTTAAAAGACAAGATAACATTAATTCTAAGTGCATTCCCATTAACAACCATAAACCCAAATGTAGTTACTTGTGGCATCCAAGCACCACTAAACTAGCATAATATGAATGTCAAGGTACTCTGAAAACAACCACACTGCAGCAGCCAAATAACTTGACAAAAATAAACTCAAGAGAATTTAAAGTACATATAACCACATGATTACTTGAAAAGAAAGTTGTTTTCCTGTGAATACCTGAAGAACAAACTACTTCTATAATGGTAAGACATCGCCAACTATGACAACCTCCTAGTTGATAAGTAAAGCTAAGAAAAATCTGTTGCAAGACACTGTGGAGTACACGTGTGAGCAGAACATGAGGTCCACCTCCCAGCTCTGCCACAAACCTCCTGCACAGCCTTTGGCCAACCCACCTTACCTGTTCCACTGCATCTCAGTTGTTAAAAGTAGAATAATATCCTTCAGCCTCCCAGAAGTGTTGTAAAGAAATTCCATTAGTACCCAAACAGAACCCTGGCTTGGACAGAAACAGCAATAAGAGCCCAAAGAATCTTTGCTGATATTTTTTTATACTTACGTGAATAAATATCTCGTAGTCAATGTAAGAATGCCATGAGTCTTCTTTTTGCGTCCTGGGGTCTCTCACCAAGACAGTTACAAATTCCTGCAAGCGCATAATAAAAATCAAGCGATTAATTTCAGAAGACAAAGGGAGCCTGAAAGACTCTCTTGATCGCTCTGCTTTTCCACAAACTACTGTGCTCAGATTGAAAACTGAACTGCTGTTTTATTGAATTTTGCAACCCTATAAAAGGAGAAGCAAAAAGCAATGAATCATCTGAGCTGCACCACATGTCTGGGAAATTCCTTGCCAGACTGCTAGCTGAAAAGGAGTGTTTCAGATTAAGTAATACTGTGAGAAGTCATACATGTTTCATGCATGGGAGATTTGGCGATTTCAGTAGCTACAAGCTAAAAACCTAACAAAGTCACACATGTAACAGGTATATTAGACTTTTCCCACCCTTGCAGTCAACACTCACAAAGCAGGTGTTACAAACCTGCTCCATGTACCCAACACATACATATAACATCTTATTTGCTCCTAAATTTCTTTTCTCGTTGTACTTAGGCTTTTTTTAAATTAAGTATTTGTACCTTCAAGGATCTGATGTAAGTGCTTGGTACCTCCATAAGGAGGTGAAGAACTGCCTTTTCTCTCTGCCCCAAATGACTTGCTCCGTCCCAGTGAAAAAGAACATACCACCAATAATTGCCCCAGACACAGATTCAACACAGGGAATTCAAGGTCTCAAGCCTAGCATCCTGGATGCCGTGTGGAAGGAGATGAATCCTCCTCTGCCACATAAGCTTCCTGATACACCAGGAACTTAACCCATGGAGTACACCTGAGGATACAGGACCTGGGCACGGTTATCCCAGTCTGCCCATCAACCCACCCAAGGAAGCAACATAGCCAAACTGCAGAGCACAATTCCCCCCCAAAATGGGGGGGGGGGACACGACACAATAATATAGAGTGTTTGTTGCAGAAGTTGTCATATATAGTCTCTTCCCTTTCGATTCCTACACTTATATAATAATTTAGAGGGATCCTGAAGGAGCATGAGGCTTGAGGGCATGACTAAGAGGAACTGTAATAGGCCAAAGAATTACATGCTTCCAAGTATCCTTAGCTAATGACCACATGAAAACTTGTACCATGTTTAAAAAAAAAAATTCAACAATGCAAAACAAAAAGGTAAATCTGTATCTTCATATCGAGATGGAAAAGGTCTCTTTAAAATACAAAGGTTGAAAGCCTGCTTAACTACCTGCTATTTCCCAAGGAAAAGAACAGGCTGCCCTACTTCAGCTGCTTAGATATGCTATTCAGCCAAAGAGCTAAGCCAACCACTTAAATAATGACTCAGTTAAGGAAAACCGTATCATTTTAAGCTGTAGATATATTCCCCCTGAGGAAGGCATTGCACAAGATCCCTGGGTACAGGAATCGACTGTGGGAGGAACGACAGCGTCTCTGGTAAATGACACGTGTTTTTAGTATGACTTTGCACAAATCAAGAAATCTTGAAATAGAAAGCTCTCAAAACGCGCCTCTCCATGCCCAAACCACGGGTGTCAGAAAAGAAACATTCACTCTTCAGCCAAGTCATCTCCCCCCACACTTCGGCGTGCCACCAGCAACCTCCAACAGACCCACAGGAGGACAACGACAACCGTGGATCAAAAGGATTACTATTTTTTTTCTTGCCCCCGAACAGCCACTGCTCTCTGTACATGGCAGGGAGACATTCATGGTCTGGAATAAATCATTTATCACACCGATTCCCAGACAGCACTGCTTCAGGGATGGGGAGCCTGTGGCCTGATGGCTGGACACAGCCCACAGCTTTATCTCCCCTAGTCCGGCTCCCAGTCACAGGGGTGTTTTTCTGCATTATTGCTGGAAACCCTTCTGGTGCGTGTCACGAGCACCTTGTCAAAGAAGCCCCGCTTGAGAGGCTCCCACCATCTCTGCTGTTCTTCCCTCCCTGAAGAGCACTACTTCTCCCCATGCCAACGTGACACACGAGGAACAAACGAACAGAGCTGTAATCGCTTCCACCAGCTGAGGGTCATGCCTTTGCTCCTACAAAAATGCTAGTGGGAGACATGAGGAAATTATTCCCCTCCCAAACAATTTGCTGAACAAAGGAGAGGAAACTATTTTTTGGTTGTTTTCTTTTTTTCCACCTGCCTCACTGTCTATCATATTTATCACACGTATACAGACATAGCATGCTTTCAGACCACTGTAACATCTTTTCATAGCCATAGTCTCATCTTCTTACAATTTTTTGTCTTCCCCAGCCTCCTATTTCCCTGTGACCCCCTCCAAACCAGAGCTGCAACTTCTTCTCCTAAACATGCTTGCTTTTCTTCCCCAAGCCCTAAAAAAAAAAAAAAGTCCTGCAAGACAGAAAAAAGGAATTAACACCAGGAAGCTTCAAACTGGACGCTGCTCTCCTCTTCCCTTGAACTGCCGCAGCCCAGGAGTCACATCTCCTCATGACCTAACCTCGGTCCCCTTCCCCGCATCCACCACCACATCAGCTCCTCATTGTGTCCTTCCTCCTGTGCAGGTTCCCCAAATTATCTCATTTCCAAATAACCTTCTATAACCCCCTCCTTTGCACAGAATCGAAATAAACTCCAGAGTAAAATGCTTCTTTCAACCCCTATTAAACCAAAGTAGTATGATAAAAAGTTGTGTTAGCTACACTCAACACCAAATTTACCTTGCAAATCATTCCAGACCATGCTGATTTACAGAAAAAAATCCTGTATACTTTTAATTTCCAATTAAATAGTCATAGAGTTTCAATACTGAGGAAGTCAAGCACCCTTCAGACTCTACCTATAGAAGAAAGGAGACATGCTATGGCAGGGAGGTGTCCAGGCAGTGTATCACTGAGCCCAGAGTGAAAATGATCTGTGGTCCAGCAAAGCACCTCAAACTGCAGCCCTCACACAGTCAGTTTCAGCTCCGATTTGAAACACCAGGATTTCAGCAGAAGACCGGGTGTTTCTCTTTTTTTTTTTTCCCCTATTATTTCCTTTATTCTGAGTTTGAGTTCAGAATGAAGTAAGATAAATATTAAGCAATTAAAAAAAACCCACAAAACAAAAATGTCCAGCCTTTCTCAAGATCTGTGGTTACTTCCCCTATAAACATCTTGAAGCCGGGAAGTGTTAATCCCAGCTCCCATTAGATTTTTTTACTGCTCTGAAACAGTGGTGTTGCATACTTAGGCTGTCCCTTCTCTTTTGACCTCTAAGCTTTCTCCAGGATACTGGAGGACAACAACATTGATTTAATCAGAGCAGCCCTAACTGCCCAGTATAGATACACTGCCAGAAGAGGTGCTTATGCCTCCCTACCCCTATAAAAGTCAGCTTGTAAAGGCCAATATTCATATATAGGCTATGTTAAGGTCCAAGAATCACAGAATCTTCACAGTTGGAAGGGACCTTTGAGAGCATAGAGTCCAACCACAAAAAGAAAACAACACAAAAACCCCACAAAGGAAAGAAAAAAAAACCACAAACAGACACAAACAAACAATCTCAGGCACTAGAGCATGCCCTGAAGTGCCACATCTACACATTTCTTTAATACCTCCAGGGATGGTGACTCCACCACCTCCCTGCGCAGGCTGTTCTAGTGCCTGACCACTCTCTCAGTCAAGTAATTCTTCCTAATATCTAATCTAATCCTCTCCTGCCATAACTTTAGGCCATTTCCTCTGGTCCCGTCATTCAGGAACTCCTCCCATTCACATGGGAGAAGAGGCCAAGACCCACCTCTCTACAACCTCCTTTCAGGTAGTTGTAGAGGGCAATGAGGTCCCCCCTCAGCCTCCTCTTCTCCAAACTAAACATGCCCAGTTCCCTCAGCCTCTCCTCATATGACTTGTTCTCTAGACCCCTCACCAGCTTGGTGGCTCTCCTCTGGACATGCTCCAGCAGCTCAACGTCCTTCTTGTAGTGAGGGGCCCAGAACTGAACACAGCACTCGAGGTGAGGCCTCACCAGTGCCAAAGAATAGTTAGGCATCATGATATTTCTCTGGGAGATTGCTGTTGTATGCTCAGTCTATCCTGCATTCACCACCACAGTCACCAGATTACAGCAGTTTGGGGCAATAACTACCTTTCTCCTCCGCCCCATCTTGCTGTAAAAATTAGGATGCCCTCAACAGACATGTCTATCTCCCAGTAATGCGCTGCTCATCTAGGGGAGGTGAGGCTGACCTCCTCCTCCTCCCACGGCCCACATGAAGACTAATGTCATCTTTTGTCACAAGACTGCACTGCAACCCGGGAAGCAGAGCCCCAAAACTGCCAAGGTTTCAGGGGCTTTTTACTTTCATTAGCTGCAATCCTTCTCAAGGTGTCTTCTTCCCCTCCCACTCAGTTCTGCTTGTTTTTTCCAGAATTGCAGAAATAGCTATGATGCCATATTATATGTACTTTCTCTTTTGGTTTTGGTGTGTTTTGGGCACCAGACGTGCAAGTTGATCATACATTCAAGAACGATACGTTTCCTCTAACACCTCAGTGCAAAAATTCAAAATTGAAATTTCAAAAATGAAATGTTTCCATTTGGATTTACCTCAAAAGGAAGAATCCACCAGCTGAAGCAAACAGAAGTCCGTCTTTTTTTTTTTTTAATTCTTTTTATTTTTCCTCCCCTCCCTCCTCCTTTCTCCAGTTGGAAGTATTTCTGCACAATGCAATGGATTGCTCACAGACAAGGATAAGCCAGAAGCTCTACTACATTGAGTTTGACCACAAAAACTCTGTTTCTGAGAAGCCTCCTTTTAACATTTTCCTATTAGGAAAATAGGAAATCTGACATGGAAACATCTATTTTTAATAGGGGGTAGGAGGAAATATACCACAAGGAGTACGAATAAAAATAATCTTGCATTGGATGATTATTTGCATCAATCATTCCAGTTGCATTTTAATTCAAATCTCTAAGCCCAGGACCGTATCAGGTGATAACCTCATGCTCCGCGGTGCCACTGTTACACATCCGATTAGTCAATAACCCCTAAAGAGTCATTTTCCACAAAGCTTCCACGAAAAATAGAGTTTCCAATCAGGCTGCCTATTAGTAAAAGGATCAACCACAAAGGACATAGGGCTTTTCATGCTGGGAGTGTTGGCACCTTCACTCCACGTACTCTGAGTAGTGAGGCTGATAAGAAACTAATGGCTGACACAAAATAATTTGTTGAAACTTTTAATGTTCATTGGGACTGAGCAAAGGAGAAGATGCAAGTGTGATTCTTGTGGTCCACGTATCTGGTAATCAGAGTTCAGACCCAGCTCCAACCATTACATCCTACAAAACACCTAAAGACCATTGGAGAGAAGACTGAAATCTAAGTCCTTCTCTCCTATCTCAGTGCCTGACCCCTTTATGCACAGAGTCACTTACTCTCCTTCTCTCTAATCCAATGAATATTTGATTTTTCCATCAAACTTTAACAGAAGGAACTGGTACTGCATCACTCCGGAATACTCTGTAGCCTGGCAATTAAAAGCATGAAGAATACAACCAATCTTTACTGGTCCACGTGAACCTTAATGAAATTCAATCCACAACCGCAATCTTCTTTTATTAGGACTTAGATGCAACTTACTTGTTTTTCATGTTTTGGTGTCATCTTCACTGGTTCGTATTACAATAAAAATCAACCTGAAAAATAAAACAAAACAGATATAAGATTAGCATTTAGTAGTTATTTGAAGGGCATTATTACTTTGCTAGACATTAGTAAACAGTGGAAACAGCCAGGCTCAGTGCCATATATACCAGAAAACATGTTTGCGTTAACTATATGTAAGAATTAATTAATTTAGAAAAAAAAATATCCCATTTTAGATTGGGTGAGTCCCTTCTGGGGACATTTGTCATACATGACAATCCAGCAATGCCTGCCCACCTCTGGAAACCAGTGTTGTTCTTCATCGCTCCAAGAGCCACCCTGGGGCTCATCCTTGCAGCCACCTCCCAACAGGTCCCCCATGCTCAACCACAGCCCAGGGGGTGCTGCCCCTGCCTCCCCCCAGCTCTGCATGACCACGGCCAACGTAGAAGAGACACTAAAACATCTGAGTCAGCAGAATCAAAAGCCCATCTCAATTGTTTCTCTGAAAGGGAGATAAGTGGAGAGACAAACTGTTGGATCCTGCAGGCTAGAGAACACTCAGGCTAAGTTTCACAGTGTCCATGTCTTCAGAGACTACATGTAGGGAAGTATATAATTACATCAAATCAAAAAAATCCCATAATTAACCTATGTTTTAAACCTACTCTTTCACTGGAAACCCCGAGAGATTTTTCTGCAGTCCTGTAAACCAGCCGGTTTGCCCAGGACAACCACCCACTAGTTTCCAAGGCTGATGGGGTTGATTCGGACCTTTTGCTTACCAGGCAGCTTTGCCACAGGGACTATTTTATTTTTTTACTATCTTGCATACACACCCCCAGCCACAAAAACATCCCCCTGCTTCCCCAGATCTTACGCATCAGCCTCCTCTTTCCAAACAGGGAGGACCCAAGCAGGATGCCTCCTTTACCCCAAGAGTACGACACCCCAAGCTCAGGCTGGAGGCAGGAGAAGCCAAGCACAACCCTCCTGTGCATCTCTCCAGGCTGGCAGCTTGCATTGGAAAAGGTGGATTTGCAGCTTTGGGTTTTTTTGGCAACCCTCAGCAGCTGCTGTCAGCAAAGTGTTCACACGTGACTAGGGAAGACACAGCACTACCTTCTCAGAGGTGGTTTGCTCAGGTTTAGCGATACAGAGCACAAAGGTAAGCACCCATATATTTCTTTGGCCAGGAAATTATCTTGGAACAAACACATCTTTGTCAAATTTCTATAGAATCAATTATATAAAAGAATAGGATATTTTGTCTCCAGGTAGAGATGTCCATACGCACAACTTCAGACATCCTAAATGGAGCCATTAGCACGGTTCCCACCTCCATAAAGATACAGCCACCATTTCATTGCTGTAGCTAGGACAGCACCAATAAAAGCATCAAGGAATATCAAAACCACACATTGAGTAAAAGAAGAAAAATTATTGGGAGTATTTATGCCTAACTGGCACATACACTCTGGGCTGAAGGTGTAGAGGAGCACTCAGACACTTCTTGCCGCACAGGATCAGCAGTGCTGCAAGCACAAATTTGGCTCATCAGTTGCAACTGCTGCTAATACAGAGGTACAGGTGGAACTTCCCTTTTTTGGGGAGACAAATGGCTTTTACCTCCCAGGAGAGCACAAGCCCACAGCACAGAAAGCACTGTTAGAAGAGGATTCTGTCTGCTATCTCTCCCCATTGGGGTGCAGTAGTTTGGGTGGGTTTTTTCGCCCCTTTCTGCTCAGTTGGATGTGTTGTGGTTTTTTTAAAAAAAATAGCAATTCAGTTATTCCCCCCCCCCCAGTTCTTTATTCTGTCAGATTCTGCAGCTTCCTTCTCTCCTGTCTCTGAACTGATTTAAATAAGAGATTATGCAAACCCAAAATATCTCCTTCCTGACACTGCTGGTGAATGACAGGGCTGCGATAACACATTTTGTTTTGATGATTGTTTTTCTAATGCCAGTTATGTGCTGGTGCAGGTTAGAAATGACAGTTTAAACTCCAAACAGCCGTGGCCATGTAAAATATTTAGTGACTAAAATTAATATTTCAGAACCAAAAAGTCCTAAAATATTTAAAATACATATTTTCTTCAGTAAGTTATTTGGAAGGAAAAAAAAAAAAGGAAATGCAAGCCCACTAAAGCTACCTTTTCCACTGACTTCAGCAAGCCCAAGATCGCCCAGACACACTGGAGGCACTGGCAAACATACTGAATGCAGTATTCTGTCTCAACGAAAAACGTATATTTTGGGACTTCCTTAACACATGCAGAAGCCAGTGAAGCAGAACAGTTCAACCCTCTGCTTAAGAGGATGCCTTTTTATCTTTAGAAAAACTTTACCTAAAATACCAGTGCTGGGGAGAAGCAGCCTTCAGAAGACAAACATGAGGTTGCTGGTCTTTTCACTCATGAAAAAAAAAAATTTCCACTGACAGAGAAATGAACCAGTGCTGGGAAAAAGAATCAAAAAAAGGCAGTGATAGATCTGTAGTTTTGATAAGATGCTTTCTACTGTGACTAGGAAAAAACCCCTTTGCTTTAAGTAAATTTTTGTTCTGCTTCTGATCTATTATCAGTCTGAAGACTTTTTTTTTTTTTTTTTTACTATTAGCTTCACATACTTAATATAACACCTGCTCCTTGCAGTACATATTTTTGACAGTTCTTAATTGCATAACCAACGAAACCACCAGGGAACAGCTCCACAACTGCCAACAACAACCCAAAGCACAAAGATTACGTAGGACGACTTGCCATACTTCCTGTAGCCTAAAAAAATTTAAAAAAATCAGGGGAAAAAAAGAAAAACCTAATCCACTACTGCATTGCTTTTCTTAGGCGTAACAAATAAATATGATTAGGAAATACATTTTATTTGATATTTAGAGTTTGTTATACATTTTAAAATCAGAATTGAAACAGATTATTTAATACTACTAGGGGAGTATCTTTTTATCATGTAAATGGACTGCTCCTAAAGGAGGAAGTAGCTTCTCCCCTACAATCCCAACTGAAAAACGAAAAGCCAAGCAGCACCACAGACAAAACCCATGACAACTTGCTATAACAACAGCACAAACAAACGTGAGCCCTCTCGGCCACCTCACCAGTAGCTGTGTTTAGTTGCACTGAAGTGTTATGATTTCACTCACTGCTGGGCAGTGTCCTACACAATGTCCTTGTCTGCCCTGGGAGCACTCACAGATTCCAGGTGGCCAATGTTTCCCCTCGAGAAATAAACGTTGATCTTCGGCTCTACAATTATCCACCCACCCACCTTTGGTTATTTCTAAACATGCAACCAAACGACCACCTTTGAGCTTTAATGGGGAAGAGTGATTTATATTTAGGCCTTGGTGATAACTGAAAGTCCTACCTTGTCATAAGCAAAGTCCTCGGCTGCACTTTCAAGACTGTTCCCATCATTGGTATCAAACGAAATTTTTGTTCAGGGCTTCAATGTGGCCAAGAGGGAGAGAGATCCCAAGTCTCTAAATACTTGAATATCTTCCCTGCATCTTATGTTTTGCTTACCTTAACACATTAAAAAAAAAAACTAAATAAATAAAAATAAGAGAGTCTTAAGAATTTTGATCAGTACCCGTAGCTGACTGCCACAGAACATGCCCGCATGCACCCGACTGCACGATGGTCCTGAAAGGCAGATCATCCACACGGATTTCTAAGGGAAATACGCGTGCAGGGTGGAGTAGTGGGAGGAAGAGAGTATGAAGAATAGAGCTGTAATAAAAGATGACGCTGGCTCTGAAGAGTTCAAAAAATGGCTATAATGAACTCCATAATCCCATCCTGAAACATAAGTAGTACTTAGATTCAGAATAGGATAACGCAAATTTCTTTTGGGGAGCATTTATTGTATTTGCAGAATAGTCAGGTTCTGGACTAATTCTGAAAAGTCAAGTCACCAGCAGGGAAAGTCACTGCTGGGGAACGAGCATCTCCTGCAACTCCTGCATGGAGGAGAGGACCCGAGAGATGCCCGTGCCAACGCTGTTGCAAGTGAGTAGGAAACGGAAGAGCTAAATCCCCACTTTGAATTAACTCACAGCTAGCCAGAAGAATGGATGAAATAATATTATAGGCTTCAAATGAAAGGATTACAAGTAGCAGAAAGCAACATTAACTTTTTTATGGAACAAAACTCCCTGGAATCATAAGACCAGCCATACCATACTTTCAATGGAAAGGTGCATCTAGTCCAGCAGTGACTTAGATGGTGACTTACACTGGAACCTCAGAGTATAAGAAATTGGCAACATTTTGAGGGCTTATTCCCCAGCTTTGAAGAAAATCATGTGAAAACTATACATATCTATAAAAGGTACCATTCTGTGATGCCAAACCAACCACATCATAACATAGCCTGGCACTTACCGATACCGGGTACATGGCCACCACAGAACTAATGCTCTTGTTGATGGGGAATATCTTATTTAAATGCTATTCCTCAAGCAGGGACTTCCACTCAACCCAGAGTTATTCAGCCTCAGCATAAGCAGATGTTTTCTGCATCACCTGGTCCAGCTTAACACCTGGGGTCAACCCAACTGCGCTCAGAGTCATGAAATCCCTCCTGTCCATAAACAGGACGGTGAGGACTGTAACTCTAGACTGTACAGGTCACAGACCATCCTTCCTTCCTTCATCCACCCTGCTGGTTACACACCCTCAGCAAATCACCATAAGGGTCTGCTCGTCAGAAGTGACGAGAATATGAAAAACCTCAGCATTTTCATCTAAACTCTGCCCAGCACTCAGTGTTTGCAGACTGCTTACTGAAGCCAACCAAAATAAAGCACCCCTCGAGCGAATCCGTCTCACTTTCCAGGTACCGATTTCCATCAGTGTTGCATTACAGCAGCAGCAGAATTGCTTTGCTGCTGAGCAGGAAATGAACGCACCACCTAAATAGCTTTTAAAAGAACAAGAGCTTTCCAAACCACTGGCAGAGTTCACACACCTTCTCTCCAATGCAGAAACGCACTGCCAAAAATCATGCCTTTGCGGCTGCAGGTGATAT